CGTCGCCGCAACCCAAGCAGCGCTGATCACTTCTGCCAAGCAGAACTTCATGGGTCGGTATCATCATCATCATCATCATCATCATCATCATCATCATCATCATCATCATCATCATCATCATCATCATCATCATCATCAGCAGCATCTTGTCACCAGCATCGTCAACATAATCGCCGTCGTCATCATAACTATCACCACCATCACCTTCAGTATCAGCATCATCATCATCATCATCATCACCCTCAGCGTCATCATCAGTATGTGCATCCTCACCCACACCATGATCAACAACATCCTAATCCTAAACCAACCGATCATCATCATCAGCATCAACGTCATCATCACATTCACCAGCACAGTCAGCATCATCATCACCATCACCACCATCATCTCTATGATCAGCATATCCGTCATCACCACCACCCTCACCACCAACATCATCGCCATCATAATCTATATATTTATGACCACCATGTAACCGTCATCCTCACCACCATCGCCATCACCACCATCATCATCAGCATCATCATCAGCAGCAGCAGCAGCAGCAGCAGTAGTATCGCTATCATCATCTCTGTAATCACCTTGCCTCGCCCGCGCTCGGGCCCGCACTGCGCGGCTAGCATCGCTCTCAAACCACACCCGCGTGACGCGACGCAGGCACAACAGGGTGTCGGACCATCGGGCAACCGCTGCGGCTGCACCACGCGGCCACGGTTCCCCGTCAAGACAACCAACCTGCTGGTGTTCCTCGTCTGGTTTCCTACGACACGCAACCGGTAACTGCCGTCATCCGAATTCAATAGAGGCGTTGCTGCAAATGCGGAGGTAGGGTTCCCGCTACTGCCTATGTCTAGTATCATATGCTCCTTCCCTCCTTCCACGGGGTGCGCACCCATCGCACGTAACGCTATTGAGTGGAGAACCACCTCTGCTGGCTGGGCTCGAGGCGTCCCTCGTGCGCTGGCGTTGTCGGCGCCCTGGAGTCAGTGGGTGCCGCCTCTTCATCTGGTGCCACTGTGCAAGCAGCGTCGGGTGACCTACCTCGTGGTTTCCTGGTGCGCAGCCTCGCGCTCGCAAGATGGCTACCAGCGTTGTGTGTCGTATTGTTGCGGCTCTTCGGGGCGCGCACCATCGTGAGGTATTTCATCAAGGAGCACTTTATCGGCGTTCTTTACCGTGGAGTGTTTCGTGGGCGGTTCTTCGCTGTTGAGTACATAGTTGGAGGCGTGCTTCCTCAGGGAGTCGCATGCTTCATCGTGGAGTAGTACGGCGTGGAGGGCTCCATCAAGAGCTGCATCGTGGAAGGCTCCACCGTGGCCTTCGTCGGGGCGGCACGCTTCAGCAGAGAGTCGTACTTCTCTGAGGAGGGCTTCCTGGAGGGTTTCACTACGGCGTGCTTTCTCGGAGAGGCGTGCCTCCAGGTGGCGTGCCTCATGGCGGCCTGCTCCACCACGTGCGTGAATTCTGCCTCGTGGCGGGCGTCCTCGGGGAGGGCTTGCATCAACAGTTTCATCGCCGTGGCGTGCTTCAGAGTGGCGTGATGCACCGTGGAGGGCTTCTTCGGGGGTGCTTCACGGAAGCGTGCTTCATCGGAGGCGTGCTTCCTTGTGGCGTGCCTCGTCAGTGGCATGCTTCCGGGCGGCGTGGTGCGTGGAGCCGTGCTTCCCAAAGTGCTTCACCGAGGAGTGCTTCACCAATGGATGCTTCACCAAGGCGCGCTTCACCAAGGCGCGCTTCGCCAATGAGTGCTTCACCAAGGAATGCTTCCCCGGGAGTGCTCCTCCAAGAAGTGATTCGACGTGGACTGCGTCATCGTGGAATGCTTCCTCAAGGAGTGCTCCACGGATGGAGTGCTTCCTCGTGGAGCGCTACCTAGGTGGAATGCTTCACCGTCGTGCACGGCTTCGTCGTGGAATTCTGCATCGGGCAGTGCTTCATCGGAATGTGCTTCATCACTGGAGTGCTTCATCAAGCGTACGTTATCAAGGCGTGCTTGATCGTGGCGTGCTTCGCGGAGGCGCGCTTCACGGAGGCGTGCCACAAGAGACGTGCTTCGCGGAGATAGTCTTCATCAACTCCACCCTATTCTGAGTGATAACGTTCGGTGGGCAATTATCGCACTAGCCGCCTTGCCTCGTCCAATCCTCGGGCCCGTACTGCCTGGCCAGTCGCTCTCCAGTCACCGGTGGCCGTCACATCAGCAAGGCGTTGTGCAGACACAACAGGGTGTGTCGGACCATCGGGCAACTGTTGCGCCTACACCGCGCGGTCACGGCTCCCCGTCAGGGGCCGACAACGTGCTGCGTCGTCATCTCGTGTACTCTCCTACTGTGCGCAGACGGTCATCAGTGTCCTCCTCATCACAACCACCACCACCACCCCTCATCATCATCATCATCATCATCATCATCATCATCATCATCATCATCATCATCATCATCATCATCATCATCGTCGACGTCGACGTCATCATCATCATCATCATCATCATCATCATCATCATCATCATCATCATCATCATCATCATCATCATCATCATAATCATAATCATCATCATCATCATCATCATCACCCTCAGCGTCATCATCATCATCATCATCATCATCATCATCATCATCATCATCGCCACCACCATCACCACCACCACCACCATCATCATCATCATCATCATCAGCAGCATCATCACCGTCATCATCATCATCATCATCGTCATCATCATCATCAGCATCATCATCATCATCGCCACCACCAACACCATCATCATCATCATCATCATTCCCATCGTCATCATCATCATCATCATCATCGTCATCGTCATCGTCTTCGTCATCGTCATCATCATCATCATCAGAATCATCATCATCGTCATCATCATCCTCATCCTCATCCACATCCACATTCACATCCACATCCACATCCTCATCATCGTCATCTTCCTCGTCGTCCTCATCCTCCTCATCATCCTCATCGTCATCATCATCATCAGAATCATCATCGAGATCATCATCATCATCATCATCGTCGTCGTCGTCATCATCTTCGTAATCTGTCAGCATCATCATCATCAGCAGCAGCATCATCATCGTCATCGTCATCGTCATCGTCGTCGTCTCATGATTACTCTCCACGTTCCCGCTGACATCTCCCCTCCCCAATTTGGCGCGGAAGAAACGCGCGCTTGCAAACTGATGAGCGGGCGGGCGGGGCAATCGGCCCCCTCGTCAGGCATGCGGGCGCGACGCGCATCCGCGCAAAGTTGCGGAATGCCACGCTCCAATGACCCCCAGGATGCTGGCGTCGACCTCTCACGCGGGAGGCTATCTGCACTTCCGCTGGATTTCCGCAAGCTTCCACCCCAATGTCGCCCTCATTTCTCGTTCGCCAGCCATCGCGGACGGGTCGCAGCACGTGCGTCCACCCAGGGGAGGAAGCACCCAAGGACCACCAAGCCCTCTGGCGGCAACTAAGCCCCACACCCTTGCCCGGGCCCTGCAGCATATGAGAATAGGCCCTGCAGCATAGGAGAATAACCGAAGTCCGCCTAAGAAGCATCTATCAGTCTATGGGCAACACTCCAGAAACAGCGGACAGCGCAGCCCGTGTCTCTCACGGCTACGTTTGCTATGCGGCAGCGCCCACGTCTCCGTGCTTCACGTCGCAGAGCGGGTCCGCCCCCTCAAAGAAGTAACCCAAGACCTGGCGCGACTGTGTGGTGGAATGGCGCTGCGAGCCCAGAAATTTCCACACAAACTCCCACCCACACACACACACATACACCGAGCGGCAGCCAGCAACGCCAAAGCGTTCATCCAAACCCCGAAACAACTTTCCACATCAGCCACCCATTCACCCACGCACGCCCACCACACACACACCACATCCGCCCGCCCACTTCCGCGGCCGAACCAGCGCACGCCCGTGAAACCGCACCTGAAGCGTGCGAGGGTGCAACGCTTTGAAGATACCCCTCCTCACAGGAAGAACTGGTAGCCCACCCCTTAGAGTGCCCTGGAAACAACAGGGCCGTTTTTTACTGGTTCCGTTTTGCCGTTTTTTTGCCGGTTCCGACGCCGTTTTTTTACCGGTTCCGTCGCCGTGTTTTGACCGGTTCCGGCTCCGGTTCCAATCCTGGAGCCGTTTCTTTGCAGTTTCCGTTCGCCGTTCTTTTGCCGTTTCCATTTTCAAAGGACACTTTTTTTTGGAAACGGTGAAAAAACGGCCCTGCCGTTTCCGGGGCCCACAAAGGCCCACCCCGCGCGTCACCCACATGCCCGCCCCCTCCTCCGTGAGCACCGCGCCTGGTCCGCGCCGTGGGGCCACAGGCGCGCACATGATGCGTGCCGAAAGGTGCAGGCTCGTTTCCCTGGTGGGCATTCTCCCTGTCAGCCTCACATCCACTGTCCATGGTTTTTTTTCCCTTGGGCGTGGGCGCGTGAGTAGGTTAGCTCCCCAGAAACACGCACAGTAGGTCGCGTGAGTAGTAACCACTGTCAACGGTCACTATGGTGCCGCGTGTGTGTGCTGATCCTGCTGGTGCTCCAGGTGTATGCCCGAGCTGTCGAGGGTGTCTTTTGCCATGCAGACCAACAGCGGCGGATCGGGCGAAGGTGCCACGTCTCTGCTGGAAACATGTAGTGGGCACCAGTGGTGGGATCAACAAAAACTAACCACGTCTCTGTTGGAAACATATAGTGGGCACCAGTGGCGGGATCAACAAAAACTATACCTCAGAAGCCACAGTTCAGCAAATTGCAATGGAACGCAGCTTGTCATCGCACACTGGCAGCGCGACATGATGCCATCAGCGACACCGTAGAGAATAGTACATGTACACGCTTCTCGACGTCATGCGTCTGCGGCTCCACGGATCCGCACGCCGAGATTCCTCTGCCCCCCCCCGCTCTGTTCCTTGGGGGAGCCCTGGCCGCACACAGCTCGTAGGAAACAGCCGACGCAAGGCAGATAACCTTGAGGGGGCCCCAGGACACACACACACATAAAAATACACACAAATAAAAATATTCCCCATATCTTCCCATATTTTCTGGGTTTCTGTCTTCCCCCCCACTTCCCATATTTTCCCATATTTTCTGGGAAATCGAAGATTAATTGTGTCTGTGTGTTTCTTTTCCTCCTGAACGAAATCCTGGCCTGGCTGCACTTTTCCACACCTTCAGCAGGAGAGACCCGTGGGGGGCGCTCTGGTACACTCGCCGGGCCGTTGCCGGAAGCTGGCGGCACGCTTGTGCGCGCACGGGCGAACATTCGCACCGAGAGGGAACTTAGATGAGAAGCCCACCGCTCATCCGTCCCGCCCAACCGCGACATCCACACACACACACACACACACACACACACACACGCACACACGCACACACACACACACACACACACACACACACACACACACACACACACACACACACACACACACACACACACACACACACACACACACACACACACACACACACACACACACACACACACACACACACACACACACACACACACACACACACACACACACACACACACACACACACACACACACACACACACACACACACACACACACACACACACACACACACACACACACACACACACACACACACACACACACACACACACACACACACACACACACACACACACACACACACACACACACACACACACACACACACACACACACACACACACACACACACACACACACACACACACACACACACACACACACACACACACACACACACACACACACACACACACACACACACACACACACACACACACACACACACACACACACACACACACACACACACACACACACACACACACACACACACACACACACACACACACACACACACACACACACACACACACACACACACACACACACACACACACACACACACACACACACACACACACACACACACACACACACACACACACACACACACACACACACACACACACACACACTCACACACACACACACACACACACACACACACACACACACACACACACACACACACACACACACACACACACACACACACACACACACACACACACACACACACACACACACACACACACACACACACACACACACACACACACACACACACACACACACACACACACACACACACACACACACACACACACACACACACACACACACACACACACACACACACACACACACACACACACACACACACACACACACACACACACACACACCACACACACACACACACACACACACACACACACACACACACACACACACACACACACACACACACACACACACACACACACACGCACACAAACGCACACACACACACACACACACACACATTCACACACACACACACACACACTTTTCGCGTCGGCGGCTAGGCAGAGTTACTGAGCTGGCGGAAGAGCATAAGAAGGACATAGAAATGCGAATTATGCCGCGATGCACGGAGGAGAGAGGGGGGAACGCCCGGCGCAGGGGGAAACAAGGCCCGCGCAGAGCGGGGCCAGGCGGCGGCAGGGCGGCACTGGCGGGGTTGCGGCGGGAGGGGGCAGCTGGCAAGGCAGGCTGCCTGGCAGCGGGCCGTGCTGGGGGAGCAGTGCCCAGCAAAAACTGGCGCGGGAAGGTGTGCAAAACCCACACACGCACACACACACACACACACACGGGAGCATGAGAGAATGAAAAGCGTGCCCACAACGGCCTGTCTCGCATCCGCTCCGTCGCCGTCGCCGGAGACCGTGAGGATGCCTGAGCCGCGCAAGGGGGCAGCCTCGAGAGACAACACAGCGAGCGCATCAACGTCACGCAGTCCACCACAATGCGAGCACCGAACCCACCAACTGCTGACTGTTGGGCTTTTCTGTGGCCCTTCCTTGCCACCACTCGAGCCCGCCAGCGAAGCGCTGCTAGAAGGTGGGCCAGGCACATCCTGGGCCCAGGATCGGTGCACAGGCCTCCCTGGCCATCCAGAGGAGGGGATTACGCCGCTCCAGGGCCCCAAGACGTGCCTGGCCAGGGGCCGCGGAATATGTATAGATCCCGTCGCCCTGTGATTCGGGGGGCGTCCAGGTGGGGGGCGTCCAAGGATTCCCCGGCCCAGCGGGCCACGGCGTGCTACAATCTGCGATGCGAGTCTGCTTCGTAATCCCGCCAGCCCCCTGGGTGTAGGTTGTTCGGAAAGTTCGCTCGTCCAACACCGACCTTCCCCTTCATGAAAGGACCTACCCCTTCCACTATCCCGTCTCCTGGGGTCCCGACCAGGACTTCATGAGGGGCTAGAGCGTACAAGATGGCCCAAGATAGCTCCAATTTTGCCCAAGATAGCCCAAGATGGCGTCCGAGATGACACACGCGAGCTAGAGCCAGTTCAGGATAGCAACATGCCTCCAGGAGCCGCCAAAACCGCAACAGATGGCTACAAGCGTGTACCGAGCCTCCCAGGGACACACCCGAGCGGCCAAATTCAACCTACGGTCCTTCAACGATTTTAAACTTCTCGCCGTTTCGCTTCCGATTTGCATTTGGGACCTCAAGATGACCCCCAGATCGCCCAAAAAAGCCCCAAGAGGGAGCCAACCCAAGAGCGGACAAGTGCGCCCCAAGAGCATCTCAATAGGGACCCACGAGGCGATGTTTGGGGCTCCGACGGGGGATCCTTGATTGTCGCAGCCTCCTTGTTTGATCGGCCGCGTCTGGAGGCTCCGAAGGCCCCAAAGAGGGCCCCAAGAAAGTCCCTAACGCTTCCAAAATGGCACCGAGGGGCTCCAAGATTGTCAACATAAGCGTCCAAGAGGCTCCCATGTCAAAAAGGCCACGAATCGATTTATGGTTGACTCATGGGTCTGCTCAAGCTGGTCCCGAACTTCGGTTTTACGGCTGGCACCTCGTTGTTCCACTGCTTGCTCCTACACTTTCCTGACCAAGGCAACTCGCCTGGACAAAGCTTTCTAGCTGGGCTCGCGGGGACACTTTTTTGGTCAACAGGCTCGCGAGGCGGGTCGAAAGCCGTCCGAACACTAGTCGGGCCGCGACTAGGCAGCAGGAAAAGAAAGGCAAGCGAAGCGAGCGAGCGGGCAGCCACTCAGAAGGAGAGCCAGAACCGGCTCCCGAACCCGGTGGCGTGGACACGCGAAGCGACAAGAATACTGCGGAGCAACTGCGGAGACACTGCGAGCCCTGTCTCGTCCAAGGAGCTCTGGAGAGTGACTGCTTTAATTGCCTGCCTGCTGATTGGCTAGCTCATGACGAAAGGGGGGAGGGCTGGGGTAGTCCCACCAGGTCGACGAGAATGCCCCCCAAGACGGCACACGCAGGCCGCAGGATGGCCCCAAGATGGCCCCAGATGATCCAAAGATGGCTCCAACACAAAAAAAGTCCAAGACGGAACAAGATGGCACAACATGGCTCTGTCGATGATCCTCAGAACGTGTGCTAGCCCCAACGTGTGTTTGTCCATCGAGGCCCTTCGACACGACCCAGGCGATGTAAGGATCTACTGATTGGGCTGAAGGGGGCAAACGAACATTGGGCTGACACACGTCGTGAGGATCATCGACTCTAGATAGCTGTCAAGATACTTCCCAGAGGCCCTAGAAGGTTCCCAGAGAGCCCAAAAGAGTACCCCGAGACTGCACGGCAGGGCCCAAAAGAGGACTCGAAGAGAGTCCTATTAGGGCCGACCAGGGCCCGAAGATGGCTTGGCATGTTCTAACCAAGACAGGTCATGGACCACCAAGTCCCCCGAGATGCTCCCGCAGCGCACGAAAGGTTTTGAAGGATGCCTTGTCGTGCTCTCGCACTTCCCTGGCGAAACTTGGGTGGGGGCGTGCTCCGTCGAGTGTTGCATCGGGCCAGGCGAAAGGGGGGGATAGCAAAGGGGGGGGGTGAGAATCAGCTCTCGGAGCTGACTTTCCCAGCGCCTCCCGGCGTCGGGAGGCGGCCACGTATCGGGGACTGGGCCCCTCGGTGGGGCCGAAACCAGCTGCATGCAGCAAATTTCGTAACCCCCCCTTTCCCAATCCTCCCCTTTCGTTCGGCCCGAACTAGATACCCCCACCCAACAACTTCCCAGCGCCCGCGAGCACACGGGCAAAATGGCAAGGCCGACACGAGATGGGCCGGCGGCATGTGCGCTTCGGCTGGATGACACGCGCTGCCGCGCCTATGTCCCGTGTGGCGGTCCGCCGCCCCACCAGATACGGCGTGTGAGATCCACAGCATGGTCTTCAAGAGTTCTTCGCGCAAGTCTTCTCTCAAGCGCGCTTTTCATACCTATGAAGGGGCCCAGGGACACACAAATAAATGCACACAAATAAAAAGATTCCCCATATTTTCTCATGTGTTCTGGGTTTCTGTCTTCCCCCCGCTTCCCACATTTTCCCATATTTGCTGGGAAGTCGACAATTAATTGTGTCTGTGTGTGTTTTTTCCCTCCTAAACCTACCCCTGCCTCTCAGCCCTCGCAACCTCTCCTAGGGTCCTCCCCGCGCCTCGCTTATTCCGCCGGCCCGGGAGCCCCGGCTGCGGCCAGGGCACCTTCTGGTCGCCATTTCCGCCCCAAGACGACCCCCCTTTCACGTGCTAGCGTTCCAGGCGCCGCCAGGCGCTCTCAGAGACCTCTCCAGAAGTCCACTGGGCCGGCTTTTCGGGCCTCCTGAGGCTCTCCTGGCCTCATTTCCACCCTCCTTCAGGCCACTTTGAGCCGATTCAGATGACTTTTCCACCCCTTTTCGAGCCACATGCACCTTCTCCTTGCGCCTCTCTCGGAGCTCCCGTGCATCTCCGCTGGCTCTTGCGGCCATCTTAGAACCCAGGCATGCTCTTTACGACCGACCTGACAGCCTCCCGGACCCATCTTGGGTCGTCGGGCCGCCCTTTGGGCGCCTTCTTGGGCCGTCTTGGGCGTACCCAGGGGGTCGCAAGAGGCACTTCTGAGGCCCCAAAACTAAGTGGGACTGCTCCTTTCTGCCCCTCCGTATCCCTCTTCGGTTTCGTCCGCTGTTTTCGACACCTTTGGGTGCCCTGTTGGACCGTTTTCGGAGCCTCTTGGGCCCCCTCTGGGGGACCCTTCTTGGGACCCACGTCACTTTGGACCCTCTCGGGCCGTCTTGGACCCCTCCCACAAGCTCCGCGTTCCAAAAATGGTGCGGCGGCGGTGCATGCCCCCTCAGGGGAGTTCAATTGAATGACACACGCTGCCGCGTCCATGGCCCGTGTGACACGAGAGGAGCCGACGATGACGAACATGCAAACGTCATCCACACCCGCCCCCCTCCCCCCCTATACCTCATGGTGAAAAATCCGTCCCCGCGATGTGCAGTAGGTGACGAGTGCAGTCCCAGCTGGTTCCAGCTGTCTCGAATACTGCTGCAAGATCGGGTTTGCTGCCATCCGCTTAAAAGGGAAAGCGAACTCGAGAAACCGACAGAACAGGTCCTAGGAGGACGCACCATGGGCACTCCCCTCCAGTGGCCCCAATCCCCACGGAAGCACCTCTGCCCACTGCAGCGCGGCCGCGGATATGCACGGAAACACGGATGGACGCGTCCCAGACACGCGACCCGCCATAACATGCACGCGGATACGCCTCGGGGTGATGACGTGCATTCTTCAGCGATCGCCACGAACAAACTCATCACAATGCCCGATGCATAAGCCAAGAGACGTGGCAAACCCACGAGGACGGGACAGGGAGCACGCGAACAACATTCCTTGGACAAAGCGTGACAGGCAAAAGCAAGACACTTCCCTGGAGAACCAGCTGGAAACCGAAGCCCGACGCAACTTTAGCAATCGCAGCCAGTGAACGACAGGCGACGTAGGGAATTCAAGAGAATATCTTCACCCTGGGAATGTGTAACCAGCTGACCAGTCCCCAGCCAGGAGCAAGCCTCCTTCTGACGAGGAGCCAACTCTTTCGTTGGGCTGCCCTGGCTCACTTGGCAAAAAACATCCTCAGTATCTCCAGCGTTGGAGGGTGCTGGCGCGGACAACACTCTTGGAAGCCTGGAAATGGGCACCAACCCCGACTCAGGGTGTTGCCTCCACAGGGGGAAGATGAACCTAGATTTCGGTGTTGGTGGTAGTATGCCGGTCACCTTGAAGCCAGAATATTACCACCATCACCGAGATCGGGATCTTCTGCCTCGGTGGAAGCACACCGCCGATATTGGTGTTAGTGTCAACCTCCAGGCCTGCGACACTCGAGACGTTCGCATTGACATCAAGACACCAACACCATTACGGAAGGGTAACGACACAGAATTGACCATCGGCACCCACTGAGGCGTCGCATGCGCAAAATACTGCTCTTGTTACCTGGAACCAGCAAGTACACAAGAGACTCTGCGCAACAGACCCTGTAACAGGTTATGAATTTACCACGCAGCCATGCACGATGAAGCAAAGCAGCGCATGCCTGTGATGTTAAATGCCCCGCTGTACGACGGAAACCTCGAGGGGTATAAGAAGGTACGGGAAGCAACAACTAGAAAACAAAAACGACGCAGCGAAGGGTTGTCCCAGCGGCAAGACTCGTATTACGCCGACGTCTGGAATGGACAGCCAAAATCATCAAACCGACGTAGGTCAAATGAAACCTCGAAAAACACACGCGTGACGGCTGACACGTCAATCAGACAATCGTGCGAACATACACGTGTCACTCAGTGGCCGCGGGAACGGCGGCGCGGTATGTCAGCTGACATATGGAGGCATATCGAGGCCCGTGCCAAGCTTCACAGGCGCAAACCTGAACTCAAGAAATCAGACAACATGCCAGCAATAACTACAGGCTGAGTCATACACGAACGCGCACGAGCAGCATGGTGGGCGAATTCGCACCGTTCGACAGAGAGGCTCGTTATCTGAACTTCAATGGCGTTGCAGCTCCAAGACAATCAACACATTTGGACGCACGCCGCAAACTTACAGCATGGCTATCCATCGCGTTTGGCACGGCTCGCCGTCTGAAGGTCGTCACCTGGCGCACACGCACAGTGGGTGGGGGTAAAAGCGAACCCAAGGCGGGGGCAAATTGGACACAAAGCAGGTTTGGCACTACTTTGGTTCGGTTACCTGTATGATACCCCATTCAATTCAAAATAAAAAAGTGTGTACTGCAAGGTCGATGCCCAGTAAATGCAAAGACGACTCCTACACAGCACAACGCTCGCTCGAAACAAAGTGAATAGATGAAAGCAGGGTAATATGCACAATATGCTTAGAGGTTACGCCCTGCACCAAAGAATACGTGAACGCCCGACGTTTGGCGAAAGCCACCATGCATAACCAGGTCTACACGAACATGGAATAAGCCTCGACATGCCAAGCACCCGACCCGCGTACAGACACAAGCGTGACCTCCAACAGATGCCCTTGAAGGGCCATGGCCAGGCAAACACAAAAATCTAATTCGGGTGGCACTTTGAGCCAGTGTCGACCTATCTTGGAAACCTCCAAGAGCGCTCCAGCACATACACACACGTTCGTGCCAAACCGCGTGCGACACGTCATACACAGTAAGTCGCATGCTGGCGCGTCGGGAAACCTAAGTTATCCCAGAAAACACCTTGACAGGATCCACCGGCAGAAAAACTGCATGCAGCCACCGCTCTGTATTTGCAACCTCCTTCGGGTCGCAGATGCTAGCCCGAAGCCGCCGAAGAGGGCCTGGAATGTGAACCGTCACGCCGCGTGTCCGTAAATCCACCGATCCGGCGTGTGAGTTACTGAGAGCATGGACTTGAGCTCGCTCAAGCTTCGCTCTGCAGGGGGGGGGGGGGGCGGGACGCCATTGCCGACGCAGTCAGTGCTCGGGGGTGGGGAGGCCCACAAGCCCACAAGAAGCCCCCAGGAGGCTCGGGAAGGCGTGGGTGGAGGGACGCCATACCCGACGCCTTTGGTGCTCGGGGGCGGAGGAGCCCGCGGGCCCCCAAGAGGTCCCCAGGAGGCCCCCCGAGGCCCCCAAGAGGCCCGGAAGAGGCCCCAAGAGGCCCCCAAAACGACCCCCAAGAGGCTTCCCCAGGTTCCCTGCTTAATCCCCTTTGCCTCAGCCCTCAAGCCTGAGGATTCTTAATGGGCTTGGACCTCAAGCTCTCAAATCTCTTGGGGCTCCCCGCGCGCCCTCTGGGGCCCCCAGAATGTTCCCGCATGACATTTCAAGCCAAAGGGAGGCCCAAGACGGGCCAACAGGGCTCCAAGAGGCCCTTAAGACAGCCAAAGAAAGTCCCGAATCACCGAACGATCGGTCCAAGACGCCAAAGATGGCCCCATGCCCATTACCATGATAAGCATTATCATCATCATCATCATCATCATCATCATCATCAGCATCATCATCATCATCCATCATCATCATCATCATCATCATCACCACCACCACCACCATCATCATCATCATCATCATCATCAGCATCATCATCGTCGTCGTCATCATCATCATCATCATCATCATCGTCGTCGTCATCATCATCATCATCATCATCATCATTATCATTATCAGTATCATTATCATTATCATTATCATTAGCAGCAGCAGCAGAAGCAGAAGCAGCAGCAGCAGCATCAGCATTATCATCAGCAGCATCATCATCATCATCATCAGCAGCAGCATCATCAGCAGCAGCAGCATCCTCATCATCATCAGCAGCATCATCATCATCATCAACATCGTAATCATGATCATCATAATCATCATCATCATCATCATCATCATCATCAGCATCATCATCAGCAGCGTCAGAATCATCAGCAACAGCACCATCATCAGCAGCATCAGCATCATCAGCAGCAGCATCCTCATCATCACAATAATCATCAGCATCATGATCATCACCATCAGCAGCAGCATCATCATCATATCATCACCATATCATCATCATGTCATCATCATCAGTCCATCATCATCATCAGCATCGTCATCATCAGCATCATCAGCACCACCATCATCATCATCATCATCATCATCATCATCATCATCATCATCATTATCATTATCATCATCACCATCATCGCCATCATCATCACCACCACCACCACCATCATCATCATCAGCAGCAGCAGAAGCAGCAGCAGCAGCATCAACAGAAACATCATCATTATCATCATCATCATCATCATCATCGTCGTCATTGTCGTCTTCATTTTCAATCATCATCATCATCATCATCATCATCATCATCATCATCGTAATCATCATCATCAGCATCATCATCATCATCATCATCATGAGAATCAGCATCAGCATCACCCTCAGAATCAGCATCATCATGATCATCAGCACCATCCGGAGCACCCCGGATCGGCGGCACTGGCCGGAGGCCAGCACAATACGATTATGCCAACGTGCACTGAAGAAGTTGTGCAGCACTATACCTGTCCCGCCCACATCCGCGGCGACACTTCGAAAACCCGTCAAAACCCTCCACGGTCCAATGCGATCCATGACCCCCCACGAACCCGCACGGATGAGATCGTCCTTGTTCCCGGCAGTCACGGTCCTTCGCGAAGCACCTCTAGACCTCTCTTGAAATATCTGATGCCCCGCTCCCACGGCCAGTAGACTTACTCAGTTTCGATTCGACACGTCCTCGCTCCCAGGGCCACAGTCCCTCGCACAATGATCGTGGCCCGAGCTGTGTGTCCCACGATTTCTCGTTAGACACACCTGGTTCCAAGGCCACAACTCCTGCAAAATGTGATGAGGCCTGGTCCCAAGGCCGCAACTCCTGCAAAATGTGATGCGTCATCCGTGGCGATGTTCCCCGGAAAACTACAATGGCTCTACGCCCGTCAGCTTACAATCCCCTGTAAAAATTGGATTCGGCACCGAGAGCCTAAATGGCGCATGTACGTAGCACCCCGCATATGCGGATAGGAGTGAGGGGGCGGTGGGGACGTCGGCACTTGGCGAGACTCTGGAGAAGCCCGCCGCAAGAGCCAAAGCTTCACACATGATACAACGAGCCCGCCGCAGCGCCGATTTTTTCGATAAACCAATATGGGTAGATCGCGGGTGGGTCGCAAATGGGTCGCGGGTGGGTCGCGGGTGGGTCGCTGTTGGGTCGCGGGTGGGTCGCGGGTGGGTCGTGGGTGTAAAGGGCAAGAAGGCCATCCCAGAATAATCCCCCCGACAAGCGAAGCCGTTGACTAAGCGCACACACAAAAAATTAATCGAAAAAGGCAGGGCTGTTTAGTCACGCCCAAAGCCGTTGAGGAAACGTGAATTGTCGGGTCCAGGTGTTGTTTCCTCTCTTGGGGGTGGGCCGGGGGGTGGGTCGCGGGTGGGTCGCGGGGTGGGTCGCGGGTAGGTCGCGGACGGGTCGCGGATGTGTCGCGGGGTGGGTCGCGGGTGGGTCGCGGGGTGGGTCGCGGATGTGTCGCGGGGTGGGTCGCGGGGTGGGTCGCGGGGTGGGTCGCCGGGTGGGTCGCGGGGTGGGTCGCGGGTGGGTCGCGGGTGGGACGACGACAACGAACAAGAAGAACAACAACAAGAACAACAACAACAACATCAACAACAACAACAATCATTTGAACCCAGATTGTTGTTTATTCGATCGCGTGCCACGCAACTCGTATCTCCCAAACCTTCGATAACCGCCACCTTCTGTCTTCGACAGCACCCCCATCGGGGCATATCTCCCTTACCTGCCACGCACATTCAGCCCAACTTCTCAAACGGGGGAAGGGGGGGCGATCGAGCGGGAGCCCTTGTCACCGCGACTGCGCTCCCACTAATTTGCCTGAATTGCCAGAAAATGCACAGCGAGAGCGCTGTTCCTGTGTTCGGGGCCCTCTCTGGCCACGGCCTCCAGAAGTACATCGAAAAAAACTGGCGGGCGGGGACCTTGTCGTCGCGGCTGGGCATCCGCGAACTTGATTGAATTTCGAATTGCGAAGAAGTCTCATGCGAAAGCGCCGTTCCTGGGGCCTCTGCGGGCTGGGGCCTCCGCCTTTGCGGGCTGCGCTGGGGAGCCTCAGTGGGCAGCGCGCTGGGGCCTCTGCGGGCGCCTCGGGGCCTCTGCGGGCCGGGGCCTCAGCGGGCTGCGTCGGGGGCCTCAGCGGGCAGCGTCGGTGCCTCTGTGGGCGCGCCCGGGGCCTCTGTGGGCTGCGTCGGAGGGCCTCAGTGGGCAATGCGCGAAGCCCTCTGTGGGCGCACCAGGGGCCTCTGCGGGCTGGGGCCTCTGTCGGCGCCCTTGGGGCCTCTGTGGGCTGTGTCGAGGGGCCTCTGTGAGCAGCGCGCTGGGGCCTCTGTGGGCAGGCCTGGGGCCTCTGCGGGCTGCGGCCTCCGCGGGCGCGCTTGGGGATTGCGGGCTGCGCCGGGGGCCTCGGCGGGCAGCGCGCGGGGGCCCGCGCGGGCCAGGGCGCCACACGGGTGCCATTGGGGCCTCTGCGGGCTGTGCCGGAGGGCCTCAGTGGGCAGCGCGCGGGGGGCCCAGCGGGCGCGCCGCTGCGGGCTGGGGCATCTGTGGGCTGCGTCAAAAGCCTCAGCGGGCAGCGCACCGGGGCCTCTGTTGGCGCGCTTGGAGCCCGTTCGGGCTACGTCCTATGCGGGTGCGCGTGGGGCCTCTGTGGGCTGCGTCGGGGGCCTCGGTGGGCAGCGCGCCGGGGCCTCTGCGGGCGCGCTCGGTGCCTCTGCGGCCCGGGGCCCCCATGGGCGCCCCTGGGACCTCTGTGGGCTGTGCTGGGGGGCCTCAGCGGGCAGCGCGCTGGGACCTCTGTAAGCGCGCTTGGGGCCTCTATTGGCCAGGGCCTATGCGGGCCGTGCCGGAGGGCCAGTGGACAGCGCGCGGAGGCCTCTAGGCGTGCTTGGGGCCTCTGCGGTCCAAGGCCTGCGCTGGCGCGCTTGGGGCCTCTGTGGGCTGCGTCCGAGGACTCGGTGGGCAGCGCGCGGGTGACTCCATGGGCTCGCTTGACGACTCTGTGGGCTGGGGCCTCGGCGGGCGCGCTCGGGGCCCCCGTGGGCGTTGTCGGGGAGCCTCAGGGGACAGCGCGCTGGAGCTTCAGTGGGCGCGCTTGGGGCCTCTGTGGGCTGGGGCCTCTGCGGGCGCGGTTGGGGCCTCTGTTGGCTGCGCCGGAGGGCCTCAATGGGCAGTGCGCGGAAGCATCCGCGGGCACGCTCGGGGCCTCTGTAGGCTGTGTCAGGGGCCTCACTGGACAGCGCGATGGGGCCTCTGCAGGCGGGCTTGAAACCTCTGCGGGCTGGAGCCTGCTTGGGGCCTGTGTGGGCTGTGCCAGAGGGCCTCAGTGGGCAGCGCGCCGGGGCCTCTGGGCGCGCTCGGGGCCTCTGCGGGCGCGCGCGGGGCCTCTCTGGAACGGCGGGCCTCAGTGGGCAGCGCGCCAAGGCCTCAGCGAGCGCGCTCGGGGCCTCTGCTGGCTGGGGCCTCTGTAGGTGCGCTTGGCCTCTGAAGGCTGGGGCCCCCGTGGGCTGCGGCGGGGGACAGC